CTGGACTGGGTCTGATAAAAACCTTATTGTATCCAGTCGGACCTTACCGGCTATCGTAATTCCCTCAAAAATCCAATAGAATTAATCTTTTAAGTAAAAATAATGAAACTCTTTCACGGATTCTTCGTAAGAATGTGAGAAGTTTTTTGGTCCTTTGTAGAGACAAAAAATATACGTCATGCAATGGATTTGCCGTGGTCGACGTTCACACTAGAGGATTAAGCCCAAATATCTACAGAGTCGTTTATCTTTTTTCTTATTCGAACTAATCTACATTTATAAAAAATCAAATCAGGGAATTTTGAAGGTCGTCACCATACCCATTTTTTTTCTAAAGAAGTTATTTTGTTTTTAACTTCTACAACTAACGTAAGCCGAATCTCCAGACGTTGTGTGCCATTTTCTAATCGGACCCCCAAAGTGAATTTCCTGACTGGATACACATAAGTAGAAACAGTTGGTAGAGGATGTCGATTGTGTCGTCCCATAGAAACGCACTATCAGTTCGGGGCTAAAAGCGCATTTAAGGTACCACCTTGTTTGGAATACAGAGACAAAAAAATCGCGGAAACCGTAGAAGGAGTGTAGACGTACTGCAGTTCAATTCGTCGGAGCCATCCACACAATCCCGTCTGCCATCACACCGCTGTTGTGGCCGAATACATTCTCCATTTCCACATTGGAAGTCGCCTTCACGACACTTTTCTACGGGCAAGAAGAAAAAACTCTTTAAAAGTCGGCAAGTTATTAAATGATGCAATTGAGGTTCGTTTTAATGTGACGACCCAAATCAACTTGGTTCCAGTGTGCAGTTGGTTCTTTGTGAGAATGATACATGTATGCACAGCTTGTCCTGCTACGTCGATGCGTTACGAGCAAGCGAACCCATAACTGTTAATAGAACCCAAGAGTTGTGTTCTAGGAAGTAGTCGCGAAAAAAGAGACACCATCACTGAAACAAGAACCTTGCCAGTCTTAGGTTTTGGATGTAAATTTGAACCCATCATCAGAGAAAATCACAAAAATGCCCCCATTCTCATAACAACTGCATCAGCCAACGGCGTCAGCTACGTATTGCCTGAATGAGACGCATATTAAATTAACAAAGGCTATTGTCCTCCGCCCAAAATATTCAGTGCTGCGATTTTGCCTGGGAAAAATTGCTGGCTACGTGGCGAGGGTGCGGGTGAAAAGTAATCCTAGTGACGGCGAGCCAAATGGCCGAGTAACCGTCACTCGAAGAATCGAAAAAGGAGAGGGTGGAAATTACGGCAATTAAGAATTCGTGTACGGACCCAAAAGTAATCATCGCATCATCTACAACCCCCGACACTGAACTCACATACTCCTAAACATAAGTAGGCCTGTGATGGCAAGACAACCTCGCCTTTAAATAGTGCGCATTTCGTGTCACTTACCATGCCTTCTTTTGGCTGTCACAGAGGTAGCGTTCGAGTGAGTACTCAAAACAACAGAACAGTACCACCTTCACTTCAGTTATTGTGTCTCCGTGGCGAACCCATAATTGATAAAAACTCCTCAGTTAAAAACAAAAGAGCAGGTAGCTACTGATAAAGAAATTCGAGAACCTTAGCGATAGCCTCAGATGTCTATGTCAGCAGTCTGTGGCGGAGCTGAGCCTCTGACGTTCCTTTGTTTATTAAGTTGGGTTCACGATCGGAGGTATTGAAAGAAATACAGCTATAAATTTTGGCATCAGATGCACATAGATCTTTTGGATGCTCCTTCCTACAGAGGCTTTATTTATTAATAAATTGTGCAGGAGAGAAGTCTTAAACATAAAACTCTCGGAGTAAATAGATTAAATAAGCCATCATTGAAATATGGACAAATAGGCCGAAGCGTTCAGAAACGCAGTCACGGGAATATGGACGTACTGCAATTCATTTCGTCAGAGCCATCCACACAGTCCCGCCTGCCATCACATTGTTGTTGGGGACGAATACATTCTCCACTACCACATCGAAAGTCGCCCTCACTGCATTTGGCTATAGACATAAGGGAAGGGGAAGGAATGAAGGTTTAAATCTGTACTCCTAGGTTGGTTTATTCATCTTAAACTATACGAGCAATAAAAGCTGAGTGACCTACTAATACTTTCATCATTTTAATTTTACTTTAAAGATTAACTTTGAAAGCAAGTCTTGCCATATTTCTCCAAACAGAATGGTGAATTAGAGATTTCATCCCTCAGACGGTTAAGCGACACCTGTATGTAAAATTGTTCCATGTAGATATCACAGTGATGTGTGCGATACTGTTGTTTTCATGTAGACGCCGACGAGTTGCCGATGATGGTGATGTACAAAAAACCAACAACTTGAAATTAATACATTATTAAGTGATATTTATAAGCGCTCTTGCAGTGGGCAACATCGGTTCCAACAGTTTCCTCTTACAAGCTGACTGCTTCAGAAAAATCTCCTTTGAATTCGACTAAGCTCCAAGGAAAATCATTTAATATGACCAGTTGCAAGATTACTCGTAAATCAGTCGAGAATTTTGAGTGAGAATTGTGATTGATGATAACGGGCTGTGCTTCATTCAAAAATGTTTAAAATTATCCTGAGGACTACTCACTGCTCCGTTACTTCTCACTAAAAGTTCAAGAATACAGTAAAACTTGGTAGCCTGTGGGGGCACCAGCAATGTAACCACATTGTTACACTAGACTTCTAAGACAATGGATGACAGTAACTCA